TAGGTGGGGTCACCAGTGGTTCGAGGAGAAGACCTCAGTGGATTGAGTCGGCCCTTTGAGGAAAAGAGTTTCATGCTATTATTGGCATGGTGGGATTCGTAAGGGAAGAGAAAACATAGTACTGCCGATATGACATTTGGTCTAGACTCCCAGTTGGTTGCAAGGACTTCTCCTATTTGTTCATTTGAATGTCCGTAGCCTTGAAGGGGAAACCCCCCCCCAAAAAAAATCTGATGTTAACATGAATTATGCTAATCTTGTTCCTTAGTCCCCTTGTTTCAGTGCCATCTTGTCCACGTGGCTTCATAGGTGCATTGCACTGTAATGGGTAGCCCAAGTAGAATTTGTGAGCATGGATCCGTGTGGCTGCAGTTGATCCTCCCTGCCGAAGGAGGTCTCCCATCATTGGCTTTTTCACCCAATGAAGAAGCTGCAAGTCAACTAGTACAGCTCCTGTTTCACATGCAGAAGATCCAGATTCTGTCTTTGACATCTTTAGTCAATGCTAGGAACGAGCCTTCTTTGAAACACTGGGTTGCTGTTGCTGGCCTGCATAGGCAGTAGCGGGCAAAATGTATCAATAATCTGACTTTGGTGTGTCATCTTCCTGTGTTCTACTTCCTATTCTTATATTTCGGTTCGCTTTCCTGATGAACACATGGAACCCCTTGTGTTTCCAAGGGCCAAGCCATTCCCTTCAGCATCAGTTTTCTGTGGCCAGAATCGTATTGGTGTGCAATGAGGGATACTAGTGGTGACTCATTAATCAGTACCAATGTACCAGTGCAATTTATGCCTTTGCAGTTAATGCCAGTGTAAAACAAGCCATAGGATTCTGGCCAATATATTAATTCCAGGTGGCTCTGTATATTTGTAGATAGATAGACTGTTTCTTTTTCAATGAATTCAGCTACTGGTGTACACAGAATCTCTGTGATAAGGGCTTTGGGCATGCCAGTCAGTTGAGTCCAGAGTTAGGTGTGTGCAGCTGGGCTGGTAAAAGTAGGTCCTTGTTCCACCATCTCATGATTCACCACCAGAGCCCTAAAAATGCTACATAGTGGATCAGGGTACAGTGGTGCCTCGCCTAACGATTACTTCGTTAAACTATGGATCCGCTTGACGATTAGGTTTTTTGCGATCGCAAAACGATGTTCTAATTGGAAAAACGTTTTACGATGATCGGTTCTCTGCTTCGGGAACTGATTTTTTTGCTTTACGACAATCAAAACAGCTGATCGTCGGGTTTCCAAAATGGCCGTCCGCTGTGCAAACTGTTTCCCCGCTGTTTTTAGGACGGATGTTTCGCTATACAGGGAGCAGAAAATGGCCGCCCTATGGAGGATCTTCGCTGGACGAGCAGATATTTCGCCCATTAGAACGCATTAACCAGTTTCTAATGCATTCTAATGGGCTTTTTACTTTCACTTGATGATGATTTCGCTCTACAGCGATTTCGCTGGAATGGATTAACATCGTCAAGCGAGGCACCACTGTACTTGAAGAATGGGATAAGCTGAGTTAAAATAAGCAGAGCCTTTTGCCCACTCTGGGTTGTTGTTTTGTGAGGCAGACAAAGTGCGCTTGGCCAGTGACAGTTCTCAAGGATGTTTTGAAATGTTGTGTTGCCATACTCACGCGTTGCTATTTAATAGGAGGGATATGTGGAAGCTAGTGAGTAGAGAAGCCTTGGAGGAGGTGGGTGGAAGTGGAAATGGGCTGATTCTCAGCCCTCCACTTCAAGCGACCTTTCCTTCTTTTGTTCCTTTGTTCCTTGATTAGCAAAAATATTTGCAGAGTTGTAGGAAGTTCCCAGGACTTAGCAGCACATCAGTAAAAATCTTTGCAGAATTACAGGCTAATCAGCCAACATGGATATGTTATACAGGCTGTTTTCAAAGAGAGACACCCTTCCTCTATTTAGCAATAGAGACACAATTGAGAACTTTGATAGGGAATGCTTCCCCCCCCTTTTTTCCCCTCCTCCTCTTTTTTTCTTCTTCTAAAAAATGCAAGATTTCCGGTCTCCACCCTGCTACCACAAACCGCCGGTCTAACTGCAGTTCAATCAGATTTATAGCTCCTCTGACGTCTACATCCTTTAGCATTTATGACTAGAGATCTGGCTATAGGCGTAAATAAGGCCTTTAAATTATAGCAGATGATTTTACCGTACCTCTCCAGTCTGAACTGAGCTAGAGTTAACTCTCCTTTTATGACTCTTTTCTCTCTCTCTCTCCCCCTCTCCCCTCCTGTATGCCGTCTCTCTCTCTCTTTTTTCTTTTAAATGAGGAGATGAAAATTTATTACATGAAACAAAGCTAGGGATTGGCTTTTAAGAACAGGATGATATACGCAGCGGGTTAGGCGGTGCAATACCTAGCTGTCAGCCCTGCTTACCCACATTTGACATCACGAAAGATGTCTGCGGCTGATTAGCAGGTCTTTGGTATTATGTTATCTGCCATTGATTTACTGTACGCTTAAACTGAATGGCTGCATCCAGCATTTGAAGTGCGTCTGTGTATGTTTGTGTGTGATGGTGGGAGAAATCTATTATGGGATATAGAAGACGGATGACTCTTTCAGCAGTTTCGCCTCCTTGCCCATCTCCTTGACCACAACAAGATGGTTTGACCCTATTCATGAATAATATAAACCGTTGGTCATCGGATGATGTTGATGGGGAGACAGAGATCCTTACAAGAAAGTGTTTTCAGATAGTGAACTCCAGGATTGCCCAGTTCGTGGTGGGTTTCAGGGTCACGGGGAAGTCTGTGAACTTCTTGTCCACACGGACCACAGTAACATGGCAGGGATGTGATAGAACTTCTATGTGATGTTGTTTAGTCGTTAAGCAGTCCGATTCTTTGTGACTCCATGGACCAGAGCACGCCAGGCCCTCCTGTCTTCCACTGCCTCCCGGCGTTGGGTCAAATTCATGTTCTTTTAGCCTTTTGTTTCTGGTCCATGGAGTTTTCTTGGCAAAGATACTGGAGTGGCTTGCCAGTTCCGGCTCCAGGTGGATCGCGTTTAGTCAGAACTCTCCACTATGTCCTGTCCGTCTTGGGTGTCCCTGCACGGCATAGCCCATCGCTTCTCTGAATGACTCAAGCCCCTTCGCCACGACAAGGCAGCAATCCGTGAAGGGGTCTATGTGATAGGAACAGCCTAAAGTCCAGGAACTTGTTTCTAGCGTTGGGAGGGCTGCAGATAGCTATAGGAATGAATGATGGGATGAAAGCACCTGCAATATGTTCCCAGTATGAATGGGAACTGGCCATGCTGGTGATGAGTTGTACTCAAAAAATGCAACTTGTTTCAAGTTTTTAGCATCTTTTACTCAGAAGTATTCTTTCTGAACAGAGATATTCTACATTGCTATCATAACTATATTGTGGCATGCTTTGTGAATGCACCAACAGAAGAAGAGACAGTGGCCTGCCATCCCTTTGTCTCGAAAGGTTTTCCAGGATATGACAACAGAATATTTCCATGAGTGTATATTGTACATTGTTCAGTCCCTCATTATGAATTCTCAAAGCATATTCTTCTTCAGAACCAATTCTTGCACCTTTCCTTACGAAGAATTATTCTTTGGAGTCCAAAGCATGTTAGGAATCTTCAGCTCAATGAGTTTTAAAGGTCTCCAAAAATCTTCTGCAATTTCAGAAGAATTCCAGGGTTGCCAGATGTGGTATACAATATATTTCAAAAACAGCATTAGAAATAATCAACTAGTAGTGACACAGAATGAGACATCTGTTATATTGTCCCATTTTTTTGTTCATCTGTATTTTGGAAGGTTATGCAGTACATAACATACATATTTTTATTTTTTTTAATTGGACTTATATACCGCCCCATAGCGCTACAAGCACTCTCCGGGCTATTGGTCATAAGCAATATTTATTTGTGTTTCCACAAGATCTAGTGGAATCTGGAGGTTCTTGGCATGTGGTTGATCAGTCAATCAATATATTATCTTTGGTTCTTCTCACTTCATTATCCATACGTCTATTTCTTGAGTGTTTTGCTGTAGAAACAAACAAAAACACACACACATGTATTTAGAGTTGTAAATTTCATGATGAGAATATTTAGAATGACAAAATATTTGCTTGGTCTCATTTAGATTCATGAAGATGACGTGTGTGTATGTTTTATACAGAAAAGCATAAAACATTATTAGCTAGTGTGTAATCGCTCCTGAGTCTCCCAAGCATGTCCATTTTAATCTGTTTGTTATATAAAAAGTGCAGATCTGATAGCAGGAGGGAAAGGACTTTCAAAAGAGCAATGAAGATGATTAATGGATTTGATCCAGTTGTTGGGTCAGCCTAGTGGTGGATGACATATTTGCACATAGAAGGTTCCATCTTTCTCCAGGCAAAAGAATCTTAGGTAGAAGAAAGAATTGGGAATCTTTAAGAAGCAACTCATAGAGTCATAGTAGATAGTGCCGCATTAGACACGTTAAGGGTCAGATCCAGTACAAGCCAGTTTTATGTGTTCATTAAACCAGTAGTTCTCAGCAGGTGACATATTTACTACCTGTAGGACACAGAAATGGGCCAGGTGGGTTAAAGAGCTTTCAGAACAATGACTAAGCAGTCACTGAAATGATTTATTCCCAATAACAATATTGCAATTTAAATCATCGCCTTTTTCTAACAGGTGCCTAAGCAGCAACTTTTCTACTCAACAAAATCAGCAATTTTCTACCAATAGAATTGCTATTTTTGTGTGTTTGTCTTCGCTCTCTGCAATGCTGCTGCAATTTTTAGGTCCTTAAAATAATAAAAAATAGTATAGATACTCTTTTTTTGCAGAATGTGTGCATTTTGTTCCTTAATCGGAACCCAGGTTCCTTCATTCAGTGCCTGATGGGCAGGCAGAGGCCGAGAACCACCTTTAGACAATATACATGTATCTGTTTTCAATAAGCTGTGCTACTGTTGTGAGACCTAAATGTGTATCTCCCTCATTTCTTTTTCCAGATTCTCAAGTTCTGCAAGAACCCGGGGATCCGTCACACTGGTGCGTGGTGGCATACTGGGAAGAAAAGACACGTGTGGGTCGGCTATATTCTGTCCAAGAGCCGTCCCTGGATATCTTTTATGATCTACCTCAAGGGAATGGCTTCTGCCTTGGACAGCTGAATTCGGACAATAAAAGCCAGCTGGTGCAGAAAGTCCGCAGCAAAATTGGCTACGGTATCCAGCTGACGAAGGAAGTTGATGGGGTCTGGGTTTATAACCGCAGCAGTTACCCGATTTTCATCAAGTCGGCCACACTGGACAACCCCGATTCCAGGACGTTATTGGTTCATAAAGTGTTCCCAGGCTTTTCCATCAAAGCATTTGACTATGAGAAAGCTTACAGCTTACAGCGGCCCAACGACCATGAATTCACGCAGCAGCCATGGACCGGATTCACCGTTCAGATCAGCTTTGTGAAGGGCTGGGGTCAGTGCTACACAAGACAGTTCATCAGCAGTTGCCCATGCTGGTTGGAGGTTATTTTTAATAACCGATGACTCACGACGTAGACCAGACTCAAACAATGACGTTTTATAACTTTGCTGCTAAATATCTCCTCCGGAGTGCTTGCTTTTCCATGCAAACTTTGTTCCGTTTTGAGAAATAGCTTATGGAAAGATTTTTTGTTTCTTACCTTTCCCTCCTTCCCTCTTTCTTCTTACGGCTCTGGTACAGTATATATATAAAAATATTTTGTAAAAGTGTGAATGAGTTCCCTAGAAGTTACTTGGGAGAAGAGGATGGATCGTTTTGTGCCCTTAAATTATTATTCAAACCCAATGGGCAGCATTGAATGGAGGTCGGGCTTTTGCAAGGTTTATTCCAACAATTTCTATGACTTCCCTTCCCCAGAGACCTACTCTAGTTGATACACAGTGTGTATGTGTGTACACATGAGTTGCACTGTTCTTTCTTTCTTTCTTTCTTTCTTTCTTTCTTTCTTTCTTTCTTTCTTTCTCAAAGATGGGAATTGATCTCCACACCAGTGCACTGAGAACTAATTTCTCCCTTAAAATGAGTGCAGAGGACACGGCAGCCAGGGGGTGGCAAACGTAACTTGGAAATACCATGTTGATAAGAAATTCCTGGACCACCCTTGTTTTTCAAAATCAAGGTTAATTGCATTGGCTTTAAGATGAGTTTTAAAAAAAACCCTGTTCATTGGGTGTATCATCCATATTGACCAACCCAACTGTCACAAGATGTTTATAAGCCTTTGAGATCTCTAGTTTTCTTAATCAGGCAAGATGTTCCAAAAAGGGGGGGGGAGGGGACTTGTTCTTAAATTCATTCAAACCATCCAGCACCAGGGGTTTCTTTGAACTTGGAGCTCAATCCATTCTTGTATTAGTTGACTGCTGTGAGTTGCCTTCTTCCTGATCACTGGCCTCTGCTAGTTCCGTTCTGCCTTGTGGCAGCTAATTCTGTCTCCCAGCATGTTACAAACACACCTACCCCTTTGCTGGTATGAAGGGAGATGATGCTTGATGTTGGTTTTTTTTAAAAATCTCATTACCTGCACAGACAAGAATGTACACAACACGTGTGCGTACATAAGAGTAAGTTTGGTGAACAAATGCAGCAGTTGTGTTGTTTTTATTGCCGATGCTTTTATTACTTTTCCTTTCCTCCCCTTTTCTTGCCCTGTCTGCTGCAGTCTGTTGTTGTTTCAACATTTTGTCTGTGTCCTTATGGAGGAAAAAGAAGCAGCATGGGTTTAAAAGGACATGACCACGGTTTCTGTTGTGCTTAGTGATCATTTGTGACGCCCAGGAAACAATAAGGCGCATGATGGCCTGTACTTTTACAGATCAGTCTGTGATGCAGACCTCTTGATAACCTTTTTCTTTTCTTTTTTTAAAAGGACGAAAAGAATTTTCAGTATTTATCCCCACGTAACCTGTCCTGAGCAGGTTTTCTGACAGTACTGTTTGCATCCAGAAATTGCAGTCGTTCATTTATGTCATCTTGAATTCATACACTTTGTATGATCATTTTACACTGTTCTTAGCTCAATGAGCACGTTTAGACCTTAACATAAGCTATTTTTCTAAATATAAAAGATTTAAGTGAACAAAAGAAGCATTCTCATTGGAATTTTAGCATTGAAGTGCTTTGGAAAATAACAACAACAAAAGAGAAGAGACTCCTTTAAGAAAAACCCTGAGATTTATTAAAGAAAAAAATGTATTTTATGTTATATATAAATATATTATTACTTGTAAATATAAAGACGTTTTATAAGCATCATTATTTATGTATTGTGCAATGTGTATAAACAAGAAAAATAAGAAAAGATGCACTTTGCTTTAATATAAATGCAAATATCAAAATGCCAAATTAAAAAAATATATAAAAAAACCAAGATGGGCATGTCTCTTCCTTCTTGTTCATGCTGTTAATAATACAGATGAATATTTTTTCTAAGGGAGTATGTTCCATTAAACTTTTTTTAAAATGCATGCTTCAGGTGATCCTGTGCAGAACCTGTCTTCTCAGGATGAGCTGGTGTCAAGAGGGAAAAAAATAGCATTCAGCAATTACAGGTGTCTGCATACCAGAAACTGGTCACTCAGGCAAAACACTACAAGCACAGCATAGCATGGGAGAAGCAATGAGCAGCACTTAGAAACGTCATTTTTGGGGAAGGGAAAAAAAACCTTTCCAGAAATGTACCATCTCAAAAAAAAAACAAAGTAACATTTCCAGTTCCAGTGGCAGCTACCTTGAAATTTAGTATTGGTCCCTGTACAAGTTGAAGGATTCCATGATGTCCCAAACAAGGAGTGTATCATGTCAAGTGATTGTGAGACGAGTGCCCTTCAGTTTCTGAATGGAGCAGGCAGCATCCTCGGATGGACTACAACGGGGGACCTACAGGACCTACCGGCTTACACAAGAACAGCCATCATGGAATGGTTCCCAGGCCTATTGGGTTCAACATCCTTTTCCAACAATGGCCAACACTTGTTTGGGGTTTTTTGGAAGCCCACAAGACCTCTTCTATTCGTGTTTCTTATTGTTATTGCCTTAGATACTGTAGATTGCATACATGTACACATACTTAATGATAATATAATTACAATATTTTATTTATTTATTTAACTTATATGCCACCCACTCTACCCAAAGGTCTCTGGGCGGCTTACAACAATTAAAATACAAAAGCAATTAAAATACAATGAAAATATATACTCTAAAAGTTACCATCAGGACCCACAGTTGATATTATTTAAAGTTTCAGAGGTATCGCTTGAGATACATATCTCACTGCTCCCTCCCAATGAACAGTAGAAGCAAGAATTGTGGTTCAGTAGCATTTTAATTGCTGTGGCTCCATCTTAATGCACCTTATGATCTGTAGTATGGTGAAATATTTTGTCCTGTCTGCTAGAAATCTATACTGTTGTAAGTTCAGAGGCATGCATTAGATTAGCAGAGAATTGTATGATCCCACAAAACTACAAATCCTAGAGAATTGGAGCCGAGGCAACTGAAGTAGAAGCAGACCCCAGGGGTGGTTTTCAGTCTTGGTTTGAACTCGCCTCAAGCGGACCTGGCACAGATATTTGGCATTAATTTTGGAGACTTTCATTTGCAATTTTGTGCTCTATCTATAAATATTGGTGCATGAGCCTAACGAAGTGGGATTGTATCCATGAAAACCTGCCGTTTTGGATTTTTTTAGTTGTCTAATAAAGGTATCGCCTACTCTGGCATTTGTGGAATCTTGAGGATCCCACGGTCTTTTATTTATTTTTATTTATTTATTTAATTTATATGCCGCTCACTCTACCCAAAGGTCTCTGGGCGGCTTACAACAATTAAAATACAAAAGCAATTAAAATACAATGAAAATATATACTCTAAAAGTTGCCATCAGGACCCACAGTTGATATTATTTAAAGTTTCAGAGGTAACGCTTGAGATACATACCTCACTGCTCCCTCCCATGGTCTAAAAGACTACTCTAGGCGGCTTCCTTACTCTTTCTAGTAGTAAAGAGGTATGCATTTTTACATAGTTCATCAGAACCCTTTTTTATGGCTTCAGTATCTTAGGTTGCAGATGAAATAGCTTGAGAAAAGATGTTTAAGATCTAGTTGCTGAGGTGATTTAACTACTATAATAATCCCCCTGAATTATTTAAATTTCTGTATTACACTGAAAAACAGGTCTGTTTTCAGGACCTATGGAATGAACAGTAGAAGCAAGAATTGTGGTTCGGTAGCATTTTAATTGCAGGCAACCTTTTAGTTATATTCTCTATAAAAAAGTCTTAGCATCTTCAAGTTGTTGTTTAGTCGTTAAGTCGTGTCCGACTCTTCGTGACCCCCATGGACCAGAGCACGCCAGGCCCTCCTGTCTTCCACTGCCTTCTGGAGTTGGGTCAAATTCATGTTGGTAGCTTCGATGTCCCTGTCCAACCATCTCGTCCTCTGTCGTCTCCTTCTCTTGCCTTCACACTTTCCCAACAACATCGTCATTTCCAGGGAATCTTCTCTTCTCATGAGATAGCCAAGGTATTGGAGTTTCAGCTTCAGGATCTGTCCTTCCAGTGAGCACTCAGTGAGCATCTTTAAGAGGTCAAAGTCACTTCAAGTGATCATCTTGAAGCGAGCATTTTCAAGTGGTCAAAGTCATTTCAAGTGAGCATCTTCAAATGGTCAAAGTCAATGGAATAATTGATAATGTGTAACATATTCCTTGATTATCATTTACGTAGATGTATGTTTTTGCTGCTCCCATGGACTTACAATATCCCTTCTTCCCATCTAACATCCATGGCTGGTGTAAGACAAAAGCAACAGTAGAACTATGTTTCCAGAGGACCGTTTTTGTTAAATCATTTGTAAGTGCCTTAATTCCTTGTAACTGGGAGAAAGCCAGAGTTCAAATAAAATAAATTACAAAGAGGTACCTATGCTCCAGCTCAAGGTGTGCCTAATGAATTTAGAAGTCTGGGAAAGAGATCTGGTTGGTATTCTCGAAGGTTTTCACGGCCTGGATTTGATGGTTGTTGTGGTTTTTTTGGGCTGTTTGGCCATGTTCTGAAGGTTGTTCTTCCTGATGTTTCACCAGTCTCTGTGGACGGCATCTTCAGAGGACTGGAGTAGGAACTCAGTCCATGCTCTGTTGCTGTTTGTTGGATAGTGTTTTCCATCACTATGGACTGAGTTCCTACTCCAGTCCTCTGAAGATGCCGTCCACAGAGACTGGTGAAACGTCAGGAAGAACAACCTTCAGAACAGCCCGAAAAACCCACAACAACCATCAGGTCTGGTTGGGTTTTGGAGTGAGAGGTTCCTGCATGAAAGGTTGAGCAACACTTCAAGCTTTGATGTCAGTCACTAAACAGCACCTACAGGAGGTCAAGTGTCAGGAAAATGTTCATCTGAGGCTCAGGGTTGAGTTTGTTTTTCTGCCTCCTGGCACAACTTGAGCTATTCAGTTTTACATCACATCTTTCCTTTGGCACAATGGCTAGACGGAATGATGACAAGCCTTTTGTTGCAAGAGACTGAAGCAAACTCTCGCTTCCTCTCCCTGCCCAGCAAATTTGCACAATTAATACAACATCAAAGGCCCCCAAAGAGAAAAGGATGCTCTGAAAGATAACCAGTCAAATGCCAAGCTGTTTCCTTTTCTTAAGCCGAATGGGCATGGCATGCATGCACCAACT